TTTGCCGCGTCGACAAACCCAAACACGGCGAGCAGCTCCGGGGTAACCAGCGCTTCTAGATCTACTAAATTTTCGCGCCTCGCGTGCTCTAGCAGTCGGTTTTTGAGGTCTGTGTCCCGTGGCAGCAGCTGGGGATAATTTACATGCGCATTTGGTGTACGCCAGTCCGACAGACGGGCAGCGAGGTCGTTGCTGACCCTCTCTGTTCGCGTGTCGCGAACGAAAATGAACTGCCTTTTCCACCGCGCCACTTTATTCCTCACGTTCTTGAAGAGCTGGCTCTTATCCCTCCTAGAGAGGTAGTACCATCTCGCCCCTCCTGAGTTTGGACACAGCCGGCACTGGAACAACGACCTGAACACTATCGCCTTGGCCGGTACCTCCAGTCTTGCACACAACAGCATAAAGCCCACGATGAACCTTATGCTGTTGGGCGTTAGCTGCGTCAGAGCCAGCTCGTAGTCGGCCAGCAGGTCGAACACCAGCCCCGGCAGTGGAAATCGCAGACCAGCGTCAAAATGATCTGCATATACGGGTATCCAGCCCGTCCGCGACACCGAGCAAGCCCTCTCGTTCTGCCCGCCAGTTTGCACCAATATAGTCCTCGGGATGTGGTACTCCTGTATCATCTCCTCCAGCCTTCTGTACCCACTTATTGAGGGCGCGCAGTCCGCTACTTCGTGATGAAGCGCCGCCCTGAATTTAAACCCGGCTGGCAGATCCTTGGGAGCTTTGCGTATGTTGCTCAGTCTGCCCGGGAGTACCCTATCCTCCCATTCCCCAGCCACGGGCAGACCCTGTTCGATACCACCCACGTTCTCCGATTCTGGCTCATGATTCCCAGGGGACGAGCTGCTAGACGGTGAATCGCGGTGGCCGTCGCCATTATCTCCGGCGTTTGAACTGGCGCTGCTCTCTGACGTTAAGATCTCCGGCAAATCCTGCAACTCCGGTGGTACTATCATCGCGATGGGTTCCGCGGCAATCACCACCTCTTCTTCTTCCCTACTCTGGTTACCCCGTAGCTCTCTCAGTTCTCTAGAGAAATCCATTTTTACCTTTTGAACGATGGTGGATGCTGTGCAAAGTGGTGACCTTATACTTTGTTCTTCAAAACCCAGATGTGGTGCTGCAGAGAAACTCGTTGAACTTACACAAGTAATGAAATGAAAATGGCAAAGGGAACGGTTACGAAAGAAACAAAACCAAAATGACCGTATTAAACGTAGTACGCGTGTTTCTGACGCGCCAATAGGCGTCTCACACGTGGTAGGCGTTTAACTGCCTTTTACATAACGTGCGCCGCCTCTGGCTGTCACGTTCCTCAAATGCTGCGCCAGCATTTATGGCGAGGAAGATTAAGAGATACGGAAGAGCAAACGTATCTCCTCAGAGATCTGGTCAGATTCGGTTGGTTAAAAATCCCTAAGATTCAAATCGCCCAGGAATCAGGTCGCGCAAACGTATCTCCTCAGAGATTCGAAAATCCACCAGGACTCAGATCGTCACTGCTGATGTGTGCCCTATACTGTCACGTCAGCTCGCCATTGCGAGCACACCTACCAGGTCGTTACAAACATGACATTTGGCCAGATCGGCCCAACCGTGACAATTCGTTCAACAGTGTAAATTTTTTGCTGAAGTCACCCCCCATGATTCAGCTCGTCACACATCGTGACGACAACCACATTCGTCAGGACGTAACACGAATTGCAGCTCGCACAAATCATGGGGTTCCCCAGGTCGCCCTATTGGACAACACCACTCGTGCGGGCTGATAAAGTGTTGTCAAAAATCTCAAGTCGCACTGAATATGAGGTCGTGTCGCCTCACCTCGTGATCATAGCTAACTGAGCGTCACCTGGTCGCACTTTGGTAGTACTCAAAGGTCAGATCATCACAGGGACGAGCTGATCGGGCGATGCATCACACGCAAGCTCGCCTGTTGCGAATCACTTTAGCTCGCCGCCATAACGAACCCACACTAATGTGGCTATGAATACCAGCTCGCCCACACGTTTTCAGGCTTGCGAGCTCGCCTCTTCTTGTTCTACTTTTCAGCTCGGCCCTCGTCGAGGTCGGCTGTAAGCTGTCAAACCCGTTTGGAATAGGCCCAGCCCAACACCCAAACAGTACCGGGCTACGGCCCAACAACGTTGGCTCATGGCTACAATCCATTCCAGTTCGTCAACCGAACGCTGGGGGGGGAGTAATGTTGGAATAGGCCCAGCCCAACACCTAAACAGTACGGGGCTATGCATAACGGGCCTAGGTTACCACCTGTTAGCCCAAGCTGAGGGAGCATGAATACAAGCATACCCACGTGACCAATGCCAAGTGGATCAATGGGAGGCTGACACGTGTAGATGTATGTCAGCACCAAGGGGCTATAAATACCCCCCAACTACCTCAATGAAGGTAATTAATCTCTACGCTTCTCTCTCTGCAATTACTCTTTGAGAGTCTCTCTCTCTAAAGTACTGAGTATTGCTGACTTGAGCGTTGGAGTGTTTTCCCCAAGGAAACAACCTCGGGATTTTCAGGTGTAGAAGCAGCTGAGGACTTCAACAGTGTTGGACTGCAAAGCTGCCGAAACAGAAATATCATACGTTACACAGTCAATCTGAACTCAAGAACGCAAAATGCACTACAGAAACAAGAAACCAAAAAAAAGGGGGGCTGGCTCATACTACATACATTACACAATCAATCTGTGGAAGAAGTCAAGAACCCAGCAAAATGGAAAAGGACAATGAAATATCATATGTTACACAGTCAATTTGAACTCAAGAACGCAAAATGCACTACAAAAACAAGAAACCAAAAGAAAAAAAGACAACTAATTGAACAGAGCTTACCGATCGAAGAGAAGGAGAAGAGAGGCGGCGAGCACTGGTTGCGGTGAGATAAGGCAGAAATGGAGACCTCAAAATCGGAATTGGAACTGGAATCGAGTGGTCGACAAGGTCAAAGAGCGGCGGCAAAGTCGATGATGGACGGACGATGGAAGCCTCATCGCCGTCGGTGAGAGGAGAGAGTGCAGAAAGAAATTCATTTTGAGATTGAAATTCATGGGTAAGAGAGTGAAATTGAAATACACTGTTTTTACTCTTTTGAATTACTTTGATGATATGTATTTTACTTAAATTTAATTACATTTTATTTAAATAAAAATAAACAGTAATATTGAATTTCAAAAGTTGAAATTCTATGAAATTCTTGTTACCAAACAGACAAAAGATTTGGACGTGACAAGTCTTGTGTTGGGCTGCTGATTCCCTTACTCCCAAAACGGGATATCTATAGTCCACAACTCAGACCAATGCAGGTGAAGTAATACTACAAACAACTGAAACAAGGCGAAGGCCAAGAAAAAAGGAATAAATAAATAAACAAACAAGACCCGAACGTATTCACAATTTCACATGAATCACCTCTCATCACCCAAGAAATAGTCATCGGTTAGAATTTAAGATGTTAAAGAAAAGAAATGATTTCCCAACTTTTGGCCTACTAAGAAACATAAATGAAACAAACGATTATTATATGTTAATCCAACATTTAAAATAGATTGATCAAATCATAAAAGTCTATAATTGATAGTTTGAGTTTCAGAAATAATTATTGAGAGTCAAGTAGTTCACACTTAAATAAAGAATAGTGCATACAGCGAACAAACAGATTCATATTTTGTCAAAAAGGAGAATTTAAATACAAATGTAGACATAGTAACATATACTAATGATTTATAAACAAACCAACAATGTACAGCTAAACAAGCAGATCCAAAATCATAAACGCGTAGTGATTTTTTTTAATATGTAAGAGCAAACGTAGTATTTAGATACATACAAATTGACTTGTAGCTTATGCATCTATCATTATTATTTAGACAAGTGACAAACAAGAATAAGCCTCATCAGGAACCCAACAACAATTTCTCTGTATGTGCTAACTTTATATACCCTTATTCTAGGTACATACCGGGCAGAATCTACTTGTTTAAGTGAAAAAATTATCAGGAGAAGGTTTATGTTCCAAGGTCAAATCAACCACTGTTTCAATTTTCATCAGCTCCATTCCGCAAATTGTTGATCTTAACATTCATTTCTTTGCTGGAGAAATGGGATTCCAGTCCAATCCAACATTGGTAATAATCATGATCCAGAAAGGGAGACTCAAGGGCCCATGGACAGATTCTGGGGATTAAACATGATTCAAACATGAATGCCATGGTACCAGTGATTTTATAAGGTTCTGCCTCATTTCCCTGCCTGACCGTAGCCTGTGAATCAGAAAGTCATTAGACCAGACTCGGGGCTAATATAAGTAGAGAGTTTCAACTTCTAAGGGATTGACGAATGTAGTTAAAAGTTCCAGGTGATTGTCTCAAAAATCTTGAACAAGAAGAAAAAAGTTAGGAACATGTCTCTACAAGAATTAACATTTAGCTTAACCGAAAAAAGGTGTCTCACCCGCACCCTCATTGCCATGAATGTTATTGATTCCAATGACATTATATTTTGCGTAATTTGTGTTAAATCAGTTTGTTATGAGCAAGTCAAAACCTTAATCACTTCAGCAATACAATCTCATCAAAGTTGTGAAAGTATAAGAAATGAGATGTCATAAGGAAGATGATTTGCAATCTTGAGGTTGCAGAGAAGGAGCTTACCTCATATGTCTTTGTATCAGGACCATGGGGAGTCATGCAGCTGTGAAGACTTGCACCACCAGGCAAGAACCCATCAGCTTTTGCCTGAAACGAATTTTTAGATGAATGAACCAAGTTACCATATTCACACTGAGCATGACTTGCTACTAAGGTCATGTACTCGGGAAGAAGAAAATCTTGCCAATATGGTGGATATTACTATCAACCAGACAGTAATATCAAATAAGTATATGCAAATCTGATGCTCTTCAATAATTAAGGATCTTATCAAAATAAGTTATAACCACTTATATTATATAAAAACAAACAGATATTTATCTTACTCCGTCTAATGTTTGGACCAAGGTATCCCCCATCTTAGTAGAGTGATGATATAATAGGATAACTTTCAATTCATATGCTTTTACCACCAGCAAAAGAAAGAGCAGATAAGACAGAAGACAGAAGTCAAATATGATAGCAGTTTACCTCATAACCACCAAATACAAGACCCATAAATTCACTCATGCAATTGCGATGATAATATGGAGGTCGGAATGTATGTTCAGCAACCAACCATCTTGGAGGGAAAATTACAAAATCAAGCAAAGCCACCCCTGGTTTGTCAGTTGGTGCTGTTAGAACTGCAAAAGATCATCAAGTCAAATGAATATAGTTAAATAAAGTTGCAAACTGTGAATAGAAATCACATCTCTAGAGGAACAATGCAACATGAATAAGAGTATTTGAACCTGTATTTATTGAGGGGTCACTATGGTCGAGCAAAACAGTATTGTAAGGACAGAACTTGCTGAGATCATACTGTAGATTGAAGGCTTTCATCACATCAGATTGTATAAATGTGTTGCAAGGACAATCTTATACATAATACTCTCAGTTCTCTGTTTTAACTGTTATCTTATCAAGTGATGAAATGGATGTGATGAAACAGTTTGATAAATAGCCCTCTCATTTTAGTATGTATCAATGAAGGAAAATTCACACTATGTACCTTATATGGCACATAATTACCATGCCAAGCAACTACATTGAAGGGAGAAAAGTCTTGTTTTGCAGTAAACAGTTCTCCACCAAACTTTTGTACAATAGTAAATCCTGGACGGGAAGCATCTTCAAACCAAGCTGTTGGAACAAGGAAGTCTCTTGGAGCAGCAAGACCATTAGCACCTATATGCAATCAAGAGCACATCCTTAGGGATGTACAATTCTCATATACTCGAAGAAGTGACTTATTTTGAATGATACAAGAACAACAAAAACTTTATACTTTATTTACTTGCAGGCTTCATCTGAAGAGAGATTAGGTACCTATTGGACCAAGATCAGGAAGTTGAAAGTGGGTACCGAAAATCTCAGCAACATAACCACGTGCAGGACCATCTGGCAAATCAACAGCAAAACGGAAGCCTTGAGGCAAAACAACAATTTCACCAGGAGAGACTTGCAACATTCCACATTCAGTGGTGATCCACAGCTCTGTAAAAGTGAAGCTGTTAACGCATGCTACTTTGCTAAGAGTTCTAGACATCAACCACATTCATAAATAACATCAATAAATGAAAACTTGTACATTAATTTCATTCATTTCTGAGAGACAGAGCATTACAACCTCCTACCTTCCAAAACAAAATACAAACAAACTAACGCGTCTCCCAAAAAATCAGTGTTTCATGTTAAATATAAGCTGGAAATTAACAGTTAAAATAATTACAAGCAACTTACTTCCTTTCTGGGGAACTATCAAAAAGTCTCCATCCGCATTGCAGAAGGCACAGTTGTCCATTGATTTGCTAGCCGCATACCTGGATGTAAAGAAAATTTTATTGGCCACCAAATTGCACATATACCCGAAATAATTAAAACATGTTCAATTAAACAGGATTAAATTAACGAAAAAAGTGAAAAGACCATAAAATACCAATTACATGTGAATAGCATATCCATGGCGAAGGAACGCGCTGCCGGCACCACACATCGTGTACAAACCGTCGATAAAATCAGTCGGTGAATCCGGAATATCAACAGGCTTCCACCGGAGCTGAGTAGGGTTTGCGGAAGTGTTCGACCTGTCGAATTCACTCACGAGCTTCTCATGAGCAGGCACCCGAGGCTTGAACGGTTCGTGCGTAACTGACGGTTTGATCCTGTACAGCCAACTACTCGCACAGAAAACCAGGAATCAGAAATGAAAGAAATCACGAATTGATCGTGTGTAAGTATAGGTATTATCGTTTACCTGCGTTGATTGAGCTTGCGAGGAGCGGTGAAGGCGGTGCCGGAGATCTGCTCGGCGTAGAGGCCGAAAGGACAGATGAGGGGGCTGTTCTGGTCGGGTGGCAGAGCGCCGGAGATCGCTTCCGACGAGAAATGGTTGCCGAATCCAGATTGGTAGTCCAGAACGTCGGGGAAATCCGAACCGTCGGTTTTGAGAACTGCTGGCTTCTCCATGCTCAAGTCCGTCGTGAATCGTGATCGCCTCCGCCTCAAAAGTCGTACAGAGTAAAGCTAAAGCTCTTTCTGTTTTTTTCCTTTTTCCTTTTTTTCTTTTTTTTTTTTTTTTTTTTTTTTTTTTTCCACGAAGACGAATAGTGACTGAAAGCCCGAAGGAGGGAAGTTCTATAAATAGCTTCCCGGAAATAGGGAAAGTAATATCGGGTTTGGTCCCCAACCTTTCTTACATAGGATCATTTAGTCCATAACGTTTAATTTTTGGAGCTAATGGTCCTTATAGTTTTGCGTGTGACATTTATATCCTTCCTCTAGCCTGGCTCTTCCCACAAAACTTCAGTAAATGAGGAGTAATGAAGTCTTCTAGGTCCCCAAGCACTCTGATTAACTACAATGACACACTTGGGCTAGTGGGTTACATTTATTTTAGAGTTATAATTTACTTATACATAATTTTTTTACTTTATTATTTACACAAATTTTTAACTATTTATCTTCTTACTATGAATACTTATAATTTATCACTACCTTTTGTATTAAAAATAAAATTTTATTTAAAAAATAAAATAAAATGTGGATAAATCTCAATCATTCATAGTAAATAGATTAATAGTTAAGATTTTGTATAAGTGATGTATGTAAAAGTTATGTGTAGATATATTTCAACTCTTTACTTTAAGATGCATTTTAGAGATTTGAAAGTACACTATAATAGTTGAAGAGAAAAGTTGTAGATAAGAATGCCAACTTTGTAATTTTATTTATTTAAGGATGTAAATTTTATTGATTTTTAATTAAGATGATAAACTTTGAATTTTTTTTATTTAAAAATATCAATTTTACTTTTTTTTTCTATTTAAAAATATTGACTTTATATTTGTCATATTAGCATCACATTTTAATTAATTTTTAAATAAAAAGAAATACAAAATTAATTTTTTTTAAAAAAATTAAAAGTTTACATCCTAAATTTGTTATTTAAATAAAAATTACAAAATTAGTATTTTTATCTTCACTTTTTTTCAATAATTAAAAATTGAGAAATCAAATAAGTTTTAATTAAGAATGATCCTAAGCACTACTATGATTTCTAATGACAAATGTTATGTCTGGTACAATTGGTGGGAAATCCTTTTGGATACCAAAAGTTTTAACTACACCAAACACTACAATTTGTGAAAAATATTACAACTTCTCATGAGTTAGTATTTTGTCTATTTTATTACAAATTTCAAAAGTACTGAATTAGTGTTTCTGTATGAGTTTCTCATTTGAATTTTAATGAAATTAACATATTATTTTTATTTTATCATTATTTTTTTTATTTATATAAACAACACTTTTACAAATAATTTTTTTTTGACAAAACTTTTATTAGAAATTTCGGTCACACTAAACGTATACTAAGATTATAAAATAGCTATTATCATTTAGGGTCTATGATAAGACCCAAAAGACGTCACTCCATGTTCTTTTAGTTTTGATGTCAAAACTATCCTCTTAAAATTGTTATGATAAAAGGACTAGGTAACCATTAATGTCCGAAAATGAAGGTTAGGTACTAAATTGTTCCTTTTGTCGAAAGAAGGTTGGGACCAAATAAAAAGGTGTCTTCTGAAAAAAGTTTAATTTTAGATGAACTTTTCTTCCCCCTTTTTCTTTTTATTTATTTATTTTTAATCCCTGAAAGAAGATATTTATCAGTTGACATGGCGTGAAAATCATGATGCTTGGTTGGAGAGACGTATGCGTAATGGACCTTGGTTGACACGACATGGTGAGTAAGCAGGATAGTCGGATAAATGATAAATCCTCACCCCAAAAACGTGGGTCCCATTGTTTGTTGTGGGGCCTACGGAATGGATCGAGTCGTCTGACTGTTGAAAACTTGAAAGGTTACCCTTCAATTTGATCCTCAACCATTATATGGATTTTTTTTTTTCAATTTGGTTTTTAAATTAAAAAAAGTTTTTAATTTGACTTTTATCGTTTATCAATTTGATTTTAAATTGATCATTTTATATAAAAATAAATGACTTATTTTATTATTAACTTGATATGTTATTATTAAATAATAATTTTTTATTATTATATAACGGATACATTAATTATTTCTAATGAAGGAATTAACTTAAGGGTAAATTAATAAATAATAAAAACCAAATA